CACACTGAGCATTAAGCACAGCGCATTATTATACGCCGGTGTCCTTGCACCTTTTTGATTTCTTTATTTTTTATTTTTTAACTCATAGAGTACATTAATGCATAAGGCATATAATTAAACTATTTAAACTTTCAATATCGACCTATCCCGACAATTATTTATATTTACGTTGTATATTATAAATTATAAATAGTGACACTAATGCTATTACGGTAAAGGGTAGTAAACACTTATAGCTAGCTGGTGACTATTGTAATAAGCCGTGTTTGCAAACTTATCACACAAATCGACAACTTGCGCTAATAAAACACCACCCGTGCACACTTAAGGTGAATAACACCTCAGCCTCACCCCGACAATTATGCAAATCGTCCCCCATTAGCTTACCTAACCAGATAGAGCTTAAAGTTAATCAAGAACTCAGGAGGGAGCTACCCTCTCTCTTTACCTGAGCTTGTCAACTGTTAACACCAACACACAAATGTAAATGCTAACTAATTCCATCTCTGTTTCTCGCTTACTTCTGATAAGTCAGCCAGCACGTGTCGATTTGCGATTCGACAAATCGCACAAATCGCTGCTTGCTACCACTTCAACCAGTGCCTTAATGGTTATTACTAATTGCAATTGTGATCAGAACCGTCATTGATAATCAAGTGGATTTTTAAAGCACGTTTGTAAGACTCAAGGGTTGTCAGCATTATTAAAATTCCATCTCGGAGCTTTATAATAATTCAGATAAATATTAATTATTTTTTTATAGCTGGAAAATAAAATTATATTGCCATAGAAAGCTATAAAAATTTTTTTCATACGGGGTAATATTTTTTTATGGTGATAATTTATTCGCAGTTTAAATGATGAATGTAATTTTAGCGAAAATTGGAGTTTTTTTTATCATATATGCTGTTTTATGATAATTGTAAATTATATGAATGATTTAAGAATTTTTGTTGATTTAAAATTTAATTATTTAATTATTATTAATAAAAAAATTTTAAAGAAAAAAAATTTTGGAAAATCCAAAAATGCACACCTCATAATCTCATTTTTCATCACAATAAAATTGATTAAAGTAAAATATAAAAATCGAAAAACTCTGCTATGGTTTAGTGGCATGATAATTCTAAGGTGAGGAAAAATACACAGTCATATATTTGTTTTTTATAAATAATAATTTAATGACAGTGAACTGAACGGTCATATTAATTGAGAAAGTCCTAAGTGTGTTACTTTAGATAATAAAAAAAAAATTATTCCGGTACGATGATTTTTTCGAACAATTTCCCTGCCACATACAACAATCCATAAACACAGACACAAAAAAGATTGTTTTTAATGTTATTAATTACTATGTTAAACAAAATAATTGTTATTGAAATATATTTTATGTGCCTGACAAATTATTTGGTTTGATATTAGTACACTCAGATTAACCTGTAAGTGCGATATAAATAAAAAAAAAAAACATTTTAGTTTCGAGAAAACGCTTCGCTTATGGGGGCGTGCAAAAAGGAAATTTAAATAAATATTTATCAAAAAGTAATTAATTTTTTTTTTTTTTTAATAAAAAAGCGAATTATTAGTTTTTATAAAAGTAATTACAGCTCGTGAATTAATAATTGCCAAAATAATAAGTTTCATTAAATTAAATGAAAAAATTTTAATTTAAAATCACAAAAATATTTTTTTTATTTACATTACCGCAGCTTTTTTATTTATATTAATAGGAGAAGAATTAAATTATTATTTTTTTATATTTACTAGTCTTAGAATTTTATTGACTCAAATCTTATTATAGCAATAGTTATCATCTGGTGTACTCTAAAAACTACAATACTCTTTTAAAAATAAATATTTTAAAAATTCAACTCTTGCTTCAAGATATTCAATTTAGTTTTCTCAAAGTTCGGATAAAAATCAACAGTAATAGATTTTTTCGACACGAAAAAATACTCCAGTATAATAGTGAAGTTTCTTAGAACTTGACTTACAATGAATTCAATTTCCTGAGGGCCATTAGTTCTAAATAGTTTGTTATCGAGTAGAGAAAGAGTATAATTTTTTAGTCTGACAGGTGAAACTCAGCAAACTATTGTACGGGCGCTCTGAAAGCGCAAGTTAAAGAGGATGAATTAATCTGAAGGCTCTTTCGAAGAAACTCGCGGGAGGAATTCATCTACGTCTAAGTCTCAGACGTGAGCTCGGGTTACTTCTCGAGTTTTGCGGATAAATATTTAATTAGACGTCACTTTTTGGCTTTATCTTATTCTACATTCTGTTAAAAGTTTGTTCTGTTGTTTTCATTAATATTATTAAATTTTATTGCTCGAATAAAAGTTTACTTAAATTATTTTTTGGGGCTTGCCAAAACACTGAGCTTAGAAACTCCATAAATTCCAGACAAACGCCAGAAGGCACTCACTTAATCATCAAAGGTTACAAACCTACATGAGTTTGCAAGCTCTAGAATAACATTTCGTCCATCTTACGGTATTAAATTCACTAAATATAACCATAGACAAAAATCAAATTACAAAACATTGTTAAAACATTTCTAGTGATGAAATTTTCAAAAATTTTAGAACCAGAGATAAATAATATTTGCGTAGCATTCTCAATAAATTTTGTCACTTTTATTTGAGAAGATAGATATATTCATAGACAAGATATAAGCATGCAAATGAAATTGCAAATAGTTCTACAAACCGATTATCCAATTGAAAGCGAGATGCATTGCGTGCCGTCGGTAGCTGTCCGCGGTATCATGAATACCCTATTCAATTTACGGTGAGACTAGTCTGCTATCATTTGCATTCTTAATTCTTAAATTTTTGAAGATATCAACAATATGATTGAATTAATAACCTTTGATTTGAGTACCCACATCAATTTTTATATATCTTATACATTTATATATTTTATATATTTATATATATGTATATATGAAAAATATATCAAAATGCATGTGGGTACTCAAATGAAAGCTCTTGACGAGAGTAACATCGGGACGAGCTTATATCTCTAAAAATATCATAAGTTGACAAAATACAATATAATTTCTTAATTATTGACATTTTTAAAGATACTAGAATTCAAATTTACGCGCGCAAGCGCGCGTCTGACTATAGAGTTTGCATATATTTTCATGCTTATGATATAATTCGACCAATCACGTTACGAATAGTTTGATGCCACATACATTTCATCTCAATTTTATATTAGGATAAGCTCATCCCGATGTTACATTCATCAAGACCTTTCATTTGAATACCTACATAAATTTTTCATATATTTTATATATTTATATATATGAATATGTCAAAAATGCATGTGGGTACTCAAATGAAAGCTCTTTAATGAGTGTAATATCAGGATGAGCTTATATCTTAAAAATATCATAAATTGACAAAATACAATATAATTTCTTAATTATTGACATTTTTAAAGTTATAAGCTGATCCCGATGTTACATTCATCGAGACCTTTCATTTGAGTACCCACATCAATTTTTCATATATTTTTATATATTATATATATGTATATATGAAAAATATATAAAAATGCATGTGGGTACTCAAATGAAAAGATCGGAAGAG